GTAGCAATTAGTGTCTCTGAAGATCCTTTGATTGGTTACTATGTTGATGTTGGAGGAGAACAACTATGGATTGATGTTTTGTATGCTACACTCCAACATGGACTTGCACCTGTTTCTTGGACCGATTATCTTTATCTAACGGTTGGAGGAACACTCTCAAATGCTGGAATTAGTGGCCAGACGTTTCGTTACGGACCTCAAATCAACAACGTTCATGAATTGGATGTCATTACTGGTATGAAACTATTTAATCATCAAACTTTGTGGTTAAGGATTTTTTGTATCTCATCCGGGTTAATTGAACTTCTTATAAGGTGGTGATTTTTTCCGAGCAACTTTTGTTATAGGTTCCCTTTTAGAGATAACTTGTTTATGCGAATGGCGATTGTTGATTCAAATAGAATCTTTTGTCCTTTTTGTTGGGATTAGGTCAAATCGGCTTAATTTATTTTATTACATGAGAAATTGTTTAAGATTTTTAAATGGTTGGGTGGCAGGACAAAGATTAGGGATTGTTTTGTTATAATTCTGTACGCATTTGTTTGGACTATTTGAAGTGTTCGAAATGACATTATGTTTCTAGTTCTTTAATAAATGTGTATGAAGTGGAGGAAACACCATTTTTCAAGCTTGAAAATAGTTCTTAAAAAGATCCGTTGAAAATTTATGTACTTTTTTTATTGACTTCAGAGTTCTATCATTTAAGTTAATCATTAGTGGATCAAGAGTTTTTTGGATTTGTTTTGAGTTTGTTTGTGATTTTGGTGCTTAGAATGAACTTTGAAATTTAGAATCAGTTCACACTGACCACCAAAGTCTTCTATAGTGGTCCAAGTCTTAACTCCTTAGTCAAATTCATATTAATATTGAAGAACAGAAGAAATGCTATTCATGTATACATGCATATACATAAATAGTACTTTAACATATTTATAATTTAATAGTAATAAATAGTTGTTGTGATCTATCTAATGAGTTTTTTGTTTAATTCAGGAAAAGGAGATTTTGTAACATGTTCTTCTGAAAAGAATTCAGAGTTATATAACAGTGTTCTTGGAGGTTTAGGACAATTTGGAGTTATAAGTAGAGCAAGAATTTCTCTTGCGCCAGCTCCCACAATGGTACGATTATACAGAATTGTCAACAAAACTTTGTCATTTAGTGTACTTTTCGCCAACAATAGTACACTAAATCTAGTTGTCATATCTTTTCCACCACATCATGATTTTTTGTCCATAATGCTCCCACTATATGTTTTTCTTGGTAGTTACGTATCATAAATTTCATCTAGTCAATATGGTATCCATGAAATACACATTCATAAATGCAAGTGTTTTTTTCATATGTAGGTCAAGTGGATGAGACTCATTTACAGTGACTTTTCAGCTTTTACCAAAGATCAAGAAAGATTAATCTCAATGAATGGAGTAAAATTGAACTTTTTGGAAGGGATGGTGCTAATGCAACAAGGTTCCATAAATAATTGGAGATCCTCTTTCTTTCCTCTATCTCATCATTCAAGAATAGCTTCTTTAATATCTACACACAACATTCTCTACTGTCTTGATTTGGCTACATATTATGATCATCAATCTGACAAAATGGTGGACAAGGTACCTAAATTAATTCTAGTTATTAAAAGTGGCGGTTTTATTAACCCCCGCAAAATAATTTGTTAAAAACCTCCGCAATCAAGCACAATATTTTGATTACATGTAGGAGATTCAAGTTATGCTTCAAGGACTAGCTTATATTCCTGGATTTCACTATGAGAAAAATATTTCATATGTTGAATTCTTGAATAGAGTCCGAAGTGGAGAATTGAAGCTTCAGTCACAAGGATTGTGGGATGTTCCTCACCCATGGCTTAATTTGTTTATACCAAAATCTCAAATATTGGATTTTAATTCAGGTGTATTTAAGGAAATAATGCTTAAAAGAAACATCACTAATGGAATTGTCCTCGTTTATCCCATGAATAAAAACAAGTAAGTATCTTCAAAATAACATAATCTCTCTAATAGCGACACTTCTGGAATACACGTGTGTTTGAGTCACACTGAGTCTGAAATCCATATCAATATTTAAAAATACGTACGTTTATTTTATTAGTTTTTAAAAATTATTATTGGTGTCGACGTATTAGTGTGAATGTCTTATACATCATAATTGGAGTCGTCGTGATGATTTTGTTGTTTTGAACTATTATAATTAATTATATAATTAAGATAAGAATAATGGTTAATTACATGAAAATGGAATTTCAGGTGGGATGATAGAATGTCAGCAATTACACCAGAAGAGGATGTTTTCTACACAGTTGGATTTTTACACTCAGGTGGATTTGATAATTGGAAAGCATATGATGCTCAAAACAAAGAAATTTTGAAGTTTTGTAGTGATGTTGGCATTAGGGTTAAGCAGTATCTTCCCAACCACAATATACATGAAGATTGGAAAAACCATTTTGGTAGTAAATGGAAGAGTTTCTTAGAAAGAAAACATGAGTTTGATCCTAGAATGATTTTATCACCTGGACAAAAAATCTTCAACAACAATTATTACCAAGCGTTTTAAATATCATTTCCAAAGAGAAAAGGGAATGTTTGTTGTGGGAAAGTCTCAACTAGTTGGCTAGAAGGCATAAATCTATAGATATATATTATTATTATGTATACAATATGATCAAAATTTTAGATAAGATGAAGATTTTGTTTTGAAAGGGGATAAATTATCTGTCCATAAAGTTTTGGTATTTCATAGATATTTTATTTTTGTTATATTTAATTATTTAATTAATAATTTAAACTTTGAAGGTTTTCAATTTAGTTTAGTCAATGGATAATACCACTCAATTTTTTGAGATGGGTAAATAATAAGAATTCTCATTTTTAGTATGGGTCAACAAAAAAACAAGTTCAAATATGGATCCTTAATGTTCAATCAAATTCTGATGAGGATATGAAGTACTAATAAATAAATGAAATAATCCAAAATTTAGGAAGTTAATTATATGACAACATCATTTGTTTTTTTTAGTAAGCAACGATTCAATTCCAATAAATGAGTAAAAGGGGTACTCAAACTTAAATATAGAAAAACTTTAATCAATCAACCTTTTTAAAATAAAATAAAGGTTTGGTGTATCAATCTAAATAGGAACTTAAACTCTAACGATTACATTGGATAGACATCTATTTTCACAACATGAAAAGAATAGTTGACATAAAATGATCAAAGCTAAAAACATTACCTTTAAAAATTATCACATTTCGCATCAATCACTGATTCTAGATAATTGTCAATCAAATGACCGTTATATTTTGTTGCTCCCACTTATCCTTCACCTTCTGACTAAACAGAAGAAAGCGAGAAAGCTCATCCAGGATTAATTCTTCTTTTACGTCCAGCCAAGAAGAAACCACTACCCACACTCTTCTACTAATAACACACCTTGTGAAAAGATGTTTCATGTTTTCCTGTTCCGCAGTGCAGAAAATGCAGCCTTTATCCCTATCCTATGTAATTATTCCTCTTTTGGTTAATTAATCACGAGTAGGAAGTCTATTGAATAACAATCTCCAAGCAAACATTAACAAATTGGATGGTACCATTGTTTTCCAAAGATCCTTAAGTGCAGCCGCCAAATCCTCCGTTATCGACACTTCCTGCGCGTAAACTTCAAAAGCTTCAAAGAAAGACTTGACAGTAAACAAACCGTTTTCTTCTTCGGACCAATCAAACTCATTCATGATCTGTTGTAAATCCATCGTCGAAATATGATTGCAACGACGGCGAATTTATAGTAAATGACTATTGAAATAGAGATAAGTTGGGGGGAGAGTGTAATGAATTAAAATAGGAATATTAGGTTATTAATAATAAGAGATTAGTGAAACTCTTTTTGACAGTACATGAATTTAAGAAAATGAGAAGAAAGAAGAAATTATGAGAAGAGGCCAAACAAGGGTTTGAGAGAGAGAAATAAGTCACAACCAAAGCTTGCTCTTGCTGGAAAATTGAGGTAAGGGTGGGGGGATTACTCTTATATGGGTGTCAATTACATGAAGGGTGGAGATGGATCCTTACCCTTTTCTTAGTTTTTTCTTTGTTTTCTTCCATTTTTGTGTTGTTGTGGTTATGATGAAGCTTTGTGCAAAACTTTCTTCTAATTGTTGTGATCATATGAATTGCGTGCTATGTTATGTTGGTGAAGTTCGTGTATGATGTGTATGTGCAAATTAGATTTTTTTTATGTTTATGTTCATGAGTGTTGGTTTGATAAACATGCGATTAGATTTGGTATAGATTGATGATTTAAGTGATGAATTAATAGTTAATTTATGTAATAAAACTTGTATGAATGATATATGATATTTTCTATGCAATTTGGGTGGTTTGGGGTTGAAATCGGAGCTCTGGAAGAGCTCCAATGGTGAAAATTGTTTTTGTTGGTTTTTGCTATTATGGACGTCTGCGCTTAGCGAGCTATAGTTTCACTTAGAGAGCTAAATTTGTGCTTAGAGAGATAAAGCTATGCTTAGCGAGTATGTGCTTAGTGACCAGTGATATTGCTTGGTGTTTTTGGATCGATTTTTCGAGTTGTTTCTAATTTAAGTAACTGTTGGTTGTTGTTTTGTTATGTTTAATGAGTTATGTGAATAATGTATGGAGGTATAAGCATGTGTTGAAGAATACTTGTATGATTTTATATTGATGAGTTATGCTTACATATCATACTTGTTATGTTGAGATGGTGCCCTTATAATGGGCGATGTTTACAGTTTGAAGAGGAACCAGTGGTGATTATGGCACATGCTTGTTGTTGTTTTATATCATGCATCATGTATGTCAGTGCTAGATGTGTGGACCTCGGTCCTGCGACGAATCTCATGTTTAGAAGAGGGGACCAATGACGAGTGAGGGTTCAAAGAGGATCTCGGTTCGAAAATGAACCATTGGTGAGTTGACAAAATCAGTAACATAACTCTAATATCCAGAAATGGTACCACATGCATTAGAGATGAAGTGTTGGTCACATTGCATACATATTAACATTGTGAATTGAGTATTATTGTTGTGTACGAGTTATGTGTTTAATGATTGTATTAAATATGCTACCCTTGTTATCTCTTTCACCACTAACATATTTTAAGTGTATTCTCACCCATGTTTGCTTTGTTTGTGGTTTATGTACTCTCTTGGAGTATAGAGAATCAAGTAGAGGAGTAGCTGTTATTTGAGCTGGAGGATGGTGTTGAGGCTTCTTCATTTATTTATTATTTTCCGTGGTATCTAGTTTTATAGAAGCTCTGATATGTAATATTAGGTATGAGACGTTTTATCGTTGTTTTGAGTTACTATTTGGATTATTTAATTATTCAAGTATTTTGTGTTACTGAGACAAATTAAAGTATGAATAAATCTTTGAGTGTTGCTGTTATTTCAAATGAATATATTGGTTGAAGTTGTATGTTGAGTATGTGTAACACCTATGTATGAGAAATTATTTATTTATCTTTTCTAATTAAAGAGCTGGAGTTTTAGGGTGTTACATAGTTGGTATTAGAGCAAGTTGTTCCATCCATCCTAGGTTATGTGAATTTGTTTAATTCCCTGGCTACAAAATGTGTGTGAACACTGTCGATGCACATTATTCTCTCCTAACTGCTTTCTATAACACCTGAGACCGAAGAGGGCGAGGAGTGATCACCGAATTCACATCGGGATGAGAGAGATCCTGAGATTGTGCATGGATGGGACTGCATGGTTGAAGGAAGTCTTATAAGGATTTATTGGTATTAACTATACAAATAAGATGTATCTTATTTTTGGTAGACTAACAAATAAGAACTCCATAGTCAAAGAGGTTTGACTTGGAGTAGTATTTGGATGGGTGACCTTCTGGGAAGTTTCTTGGAAAATGTGTGAGTAAGGAAAAAACATGCTAAAAAGACATGTGTCAGTTTATAGGGTCGGTCGGTAATCTTGAAAGCAGTATGAAGCATTACACTTGCTAGCAGATGTGTGATTGAGACAAGTGGATGAGAATTTTATGCTTCTCTGAGATGTTTTAGGTGTGGAGGGTTAGTTCTGTAACACCCTCTAAAACCCCAAGGTATTTTTCGCAAATAATTAAAATTATAATTTCAGAGTACATGTATAATTCGAGGATGCTACAATTCTCTTTTAATAAAACAATTCCTGTCATGCATAATCTTAGTAGTAACTCATACATGTTTACACAGCGGAATAATTTATTTAATAAAACCAAAGTTATAATATTTTCAATCATCAGGGATTAACACCTGGAATATATCAACATTATATTATAACCAAATACTAAGGAAATAAACGAGTCTGACTAAAGCAGCTCGACAAACAAACGTTCCCGGAGTTACAACTATCAGAGCATGACCCGGACAATACTAAAACGAAAATAAACTAGAACGGCAAGCCTTCGCCAAGCACCTGAACGAAGCTTCTCAATCTGAAATATTCAACAGTAAGGGTGAGCATCTCAATTATACATTTGATTATACGTTCATAACAATCAATTCAGGAATCATAAGCATCACCCAATAATTAGCATATTTCATAGTTTACAAAACCTGTACAATTCATATACCAATGATATATTGCTTTTCATATTTGCACATAAATATCAAACATCGTCAGCCATTTAGCAATTATACGTGTATACAAACAATCAGATACAACATTGGAAAAACCATCCATTCATGTCATATTCAAGGTAATGCAACACACCCATGCATGTGGTACCACTTTACCGCCCCATTAAATCTCGGGTCACGGATAACTCACCGTTCCATTATATCGCGGACACGGCTACCACCTCAACGTTCCATTAAATCGCGGACACGTATATTGGCCACCATGTTAATTCCACACAATGGGAATTAACAAATGCAACATGATATGTAAGTATGTAACACTCAGCATACTATGAACATCAATCAACATATCATGCACATTAACAACATCAAATCATAACAAGATATGGATAGCATGTAATCACTCAGCATACTATTTAAACATCAGTCATATCAAGTCATATTATAAATTCACGCTCGATAACATTATCCAAAAGCATGGCAATAAAATCCCAAAATCAAGCACTGAAACAAAGTCCAGAAAAATCAACACAGTAGCCTCAACACGGGTGCCCGTGTCGTGCAACACGGCCCGTGTTGGGCAATACGTCCAGAAAACACAAATTTTCCTCATCAATACAGGGACTCAACACGGGTGCCCGTGTTGTGCAACACGGCCCGTGTTGGGCAACACATTCCAGGAAAAAAACATTTTATCCTTATTAGTACAGGGGGAGCAACACGGGTGCCCGTGTTGTGCAACACGGCCCGTGTTGTGCAACACGGCCCGTGTTGTGCAACCAGAAGCACACCATCTCCCAACACAGAAGAGCAACACGGGTGCCCGTGTTGTGCAACACGGCCCGTGTTGCTGAGCGCGTACAGGATTTTCCTGAACCTGCAGCAGCTCAGAAACAGCAGCCAAACGCGGGAAAATGTCGGCTAAACGCGCATTTCGGTACC